CACCTCAATTTCCTTCCTATGTTAATTTCAGGAGAAAATATTTGCTAGGAATAAGTCCAGCCGTTCTTGGCAATTTTACCCATGGAAATAGGGCGTATAACCCATCACCGAACCCCACGTAAGTGTCTCTGTTTGGAGATACCAGCCTTTAAGGTAAATTCTGTCTGATGCAAAGACTACCCTCCAGTATGTCCAGGGTGTGGTGAGACACCTGAGTCGCCCGACAGCCTTTCTCCCAAGCTCCAACTTCTCAGGGTTCCCAAAGAAACTAGGGGAAAAAAAAGTCTGCAAATAACACGTCACATGATAAAATTTAGTCTTTATTTTCTCTTCAGTAGGTCAATTCAAGTCCTCATCTGCATCCTACACAGGGTGAGGGAGGCTGGGCTATGGTCAACCGTGGCCTCCCTCTTCAGGTGACAAATCAGTAACCGCAGTCCAAAGGTGGCCCACACGTGTCCAGGGAGTTGCGTCACTGTCAATAGGGAAGATCTCCGTCTGTGCCTGGCCAGACGCTTGTGGGGCTAGGAAAGAGATGTCACTGGGCTCCAGTTCGAGAACACGTACTCAAAATGTTAAGCCTTAACTTGGCATTTTTAAAAGGCTAAACGTGACCCTCCAGAAGGCCCTCCGGGGTCATGAAGACATTCGTTCTAAATTGTACACATAAATTCGCTGCACGTCGTTCTTATCACGTGTCTGCAGGTGCACTGCAGTTATGACACGCACGATTCACACTGGCTGGAATCCGCCTTATTTCCCGGCGGCCAGGCAGCCCAGCCTGGTGCTGCCATGTAGGGTGTCATCAGATGACACCCAGGACCAGCCGCTTTACACTGACCTTGTTTGATCTGCATCCGTGACCATGTCTGACCACGCACCTCGTAACAAAAACGCAACTGTTTTTGCTAAGAGTTTCTGATAAAGGAATAGACAATTATTCCATCTCGTGTCCTTTCCCATGCTTTAAAATGAGCTATGTCCTATACGTTTTTCTATCATCTAAGATTCGCGAGTAAAAACATTATAAAAAATACACATATCTTTGAAAACCCTAGCGTTTCTGGTGTGCGATACCTAAGGCTTCTTTGGCAACGCAGAGCCTGCAAGCTGACCACTCAGTGGCCCGTGTCGTCCACGGAGCCTGAGCACGTCCCACGGATTCCAAATGGTTCTCTGGAGCAAAGTGACAGATTGGCCCACGCGTACATTGTAACAGACAAACGTTTCACCACGGGAACCAAGGCCTCAAATTCACAACTCACGGCCTCGTTCTGATCTCACCCTAGTGATGACATATGGTTGGGGACAAATCTAGTTCAGGAGAAGGGGGTACAGGGAAGGTGGGGTCGATACCAAATGACGGCAAAGGAATTCCAGGAGCCTGAGAGGCCACCTGTCCCGGTCTGCTGGAGAGGCCTCGGACGGAGACCCCGCACCGCAGGCAGGCCGGTCACCTGGCTGAGAAGGCTCGGTGTGCAGGCCCACATCGCCACCGGACCCCGTGCCCGAGGGTGCCACCGACTTTAACTGAAAATACTTCAAGCCAGTGGACACTCTCTGTGCAAAGGAACAGAGCAGGCTCTTAGCAGGTGCAAACCAAAAGCTCCCCGAATTGCGCAGGGGCCCTGGGACTCCTTGAGTTAGAGCAGCAGCTTCTAGAGCACCTGGAACAGGTGCTGGGGGCGGGGGGGAAGGGGAGGTCTCACGCACACAGCTGTTTGCAAGGCACTTCCGTCAAGGTCAGTAAGTGAGGGGAGGGATTTTAAAAGTTCATCTTCCACCGCAGTTGACAGCTGGATTGCCGTCTGGTCCAAACTGACAGGCGCACTCACCAGATCGGCGTCTTTTCAAAACTCAGCTCTTAGAAACTTCTAGATCCCGAAAGTCCACAGGTGCAAATGTGCAAACCCCGAAGGAGTCTTCAAAGTGCTTCCGGAAGGGCAAGGCCCTCACTTGCTGAGCTCCCGGGGGGGCCTCTTCCCCCGCCTGGATGAGAGGTCAGTGAAAATCCAACCGTGACTGCACAGTCTTACAGCCCTTGTCTGAGTAGATTTTCTCGCCTTTGGGGAAAAACGTCATTTCCTCTGCCACCCTGGTGACAATGTCCTCATCTATGGCGGACCCGCGGGCCCTCATCTCGGCTCGGACACACATCTTCACGTGTTTGTACTCCAGGGGGAGGAAGGGGATAAAGTAGTCGATGAGGTTTCTGTCTATCAGCCCGCTGCGCCACAGGCCACCTGCAAAGCAAGACACAGCTGGGTCCCCCCGTCTCCGTCACTGTCACCTGGCCCAGCTCACTGCTCCTACGGGGCCCATGTGGTTATCCCGACCCGCGGTACGTCCTTCTTGTCTTTACCCGTCGAGATTCTCTTCTCATCAAGGTGGGACAAGCCTGACAGAGGCACCTGTTGGCCACCCCCTGCTAACTGGCTTCTATTACAGGAGGCCCCAAGGAAAAGTCCCTACTTCACGGATTCGGTGGCTTCGTGGAAGGCTTGAAGAAAGAGGAGGCTGTGCTGGCAGGGTCACGGGGAGCCTGGGGGACTCACTGTGTTTATTGTTGAAGACTCCGACGGACAGCACGGGTTCCAGGTCCTTCAGCTGGATGTCCTCCCTCTTTCTTCCTGCCCGCCAGAAGTCAAGGGCGGTCTTAGTTATGAGGTCCCCACCGGCATTGCTGCACGTGCCAAAGCAGAGTAAAATCACACGTTAAGATTCTGGGTCTAAATCAAGCAACATGTATGCTCTGAGGCTTAAACTTTTTTTTTTTTTTTTAAGTTTTTTACTTGAGACAGAGAGAGACGGAGAACAAGCGAGGGAGGGGCAGAGAGAGCGAGGGAGACCCAGAATCCGAAGCGGGCTCCAGGCTACGAGCTGTCAGCACAGAGCCCGATGCGGGGCTCAAACTCACAGACTGCGAGATCATGACCTGAGCTGAACTCGGATGCTCAACCGACTGAGCCACCCAGGTGCCCCCCCCCCCCGCCCCCATGCTGACTTTTTACCCTCAGAGACACGTGCAGGTAATGAAATTGCCTGTTATCAGCAATAATTTCATTCATTTTTCTCCCACCCGCAACTGCCATGCTGAGTAGCAACCCCAAAGTAACAGAAGTCACCAATTCACTTTTGCCAGGCACCTCTGTCCCTCGGCAACAGAATCCTGATGGTTGCCGGGGCCTCCTTCTAGCACTAGGAGAAAGAACGGCTTGCGTGCCCCCGAGAAATCCCCTCCCGCTCACCTGAGAAACATGAAAATGGCCTTCCGGTAAGACACGCCATCAACCTGCTCGTAGTAGTCTAGAAACGGCTTGATCGCGTCGATGACCCCGGGGTGCAATTTGTCCATCTCGTCAAATATGAACACGGAGCTGGCACACGCACTCACGTTACCCCGGATCCATCCCTGTAACTGGTCCTGGACCAGCCATAAAAGAAACAGAAGCTCAGAGGATGTGCCTGGAGAGGCACACGTGCGACCCTGTTCCTCAGGCTCCGAACGATGAAAAATCAGAGCTCTCTGGGATTCGACAAAGAGCTCTTGGAAACTGCCTCCCAACCGCCACTCACTGGGGAACAGCTTTTCCACAACTTTGTCTATGAAAAGTCGAAACTGGCAGATAGGTGCTAGGGTGCCAAGCTGTTTTTTTTTTTTTCCTAACTCAAATGACGTGCCGGAGAGGACTTTTTAAAGGTACAAGAGGGGCCAAAGGCATGAAGAGTCATCAGTTCGCTGTTAACCCATTATTTCCACTCACTGTGAACTGAAACCTCAAGTTAATTTCACCAGACATACTGGGGAACAAGAAACTGGACTGAGGTTGGCACAGTGCCCCAAACCAATGCCTCGTACTGACGTGGCGAACGAAGGCAGTGGCGCTCCCCAGAAAGCACATGTTCCTGAAACAAAGATACCCAAGCAATAAACCCTCAACCCCCAGACACGAAAGGCTCCAGAGGCACCCTCACCCCATCACTGGATTCCTAGAGATACAACTCTTTATCCAAGGATTTGGAAAACGAAAATCCCTTCTTATTCTTTCTTTTTGGCAAGCTTCCCTGTCTCACGAACACCCACTTTCAATTCCTTGTCCCGATCAGTTTCTGTTTCTTATGTAGGCCCCCACCTAACAGTAAGACGATTAACCTTTACAAGGACAACATTCATTTAAATGAGAACCCTACCAGACAACTTATAAATTAAATGTAGAAAGAGTTATCTCAAAAGAAAAAGTATCTCTTAGGATTCAGTTCTTCGAAGCTTTCGTGTGAAGAAAGAAACACCAAGGATTTGGATGGGAGGCACAAAGGGAACAGAAGCTGGGGCAGGGAACCCTCCAGTCTACAGCGCTAAACACAGAGTGCTCAATGCATATGCTGCATCACAGGGGAGACTTAAATGAAGCCGTGTCCAAACACATCGTCTGAGACCTGCTCCGCTCCACCAAGGGCTGGGACGGGAATGCCGAACATGCTGGGTCACTGCAGAACGTGGCTAGTGGGAGTCTGGAGAGCTGGGTTCAAGGGTCTGATTTGCCACAAGGCCAGAAAGACTGTAAGGAGCAGGTCCCCTGGCCTCTCTTGGCTCCACCTTTTAATGTAAATAAACGTCACCTGTCCCACTGTATTATTTTGGAACCAAATGAGGAAAAAAAAGTGGCAGGAGAGCTCGGCCAACAGCAAAGGGTTACCGTGGGCGAGTGTGCCTTAACTCAGCGGGACCCCGGGCTACTCCAAAGCCAAGAGAGGCAGCAGAGGCCAGAGTTAGTGAAGGTCGCCCCGACCAGAGTGGCCGGGGGACAGGATAACAGGATTCTCTTGCCTGGTACAGTTTTATGTGCTGCTCGTGAGGGAAGTGCAGAGTCGAGACAAACAGGTGGACAAAGTTACTCTTCAGGCCTTTTGAGTGAAGGTTTTCAGCCACAATTTGGCTGACAAAATTCTTGCCCGTGCCAGCCCAGCCGTGTAAGGACAGAGTCAGCGGTTTCTTGGGGTTTTTATTGTTCTTGAAGCCAGTCAGCGCCTTGAGAATCACCTCTGTGGCCAGATGCTGCCCAAACAGCTTCTCCTCTAATTCCAGCTTGAGGGCTGCAGGAGCCAGCCGGAGAACAGAGAGAAAAATATACATTAAACAGGCACCAGAAAAGCAGCGCTTTCCCCAGCTGGCCAAAGCGAGAGGCACCTATTAGCAAGGGGTCCGGCAGGGTGTCTGCCAAACCCCAGGTCTGGCCCGGAGCACAGCCTCGGGTTGCAGAGCCACACGATGCCACTTCCAAGGAAATGCACTAGATGGATGTCCTGCTTAACACTCCAGTGTCTGATAAGGAAGCTGAACGTGTTCGTTCATCCAAGGATTAGCCCTCTCTGGACTGCGCTGCGTGCTATTCCCCAGCTACCCCTGCTGAAGTGTAAGAAAACCCGGGGCCAAACGTGGGCTTTCTGGGCAGCCGCTGCACACGCTGCACATCTGAGAACTACTTAATGGGGCAAAGCGCTGAGCACGCTGCTTCCAGCTTCTTTCTGTACTCCCAGGGAATCCGAGGCACTTAAGAAGGAACTTAGGCAGAGCCCCCACGGTCTGCAGACTGTCTCAGCAGGCACGGCTTGCAGGGCGGGAGTCCGGACCGAGGCCCCGTCCGTCCTCCCTCCCGCCCCAGCTCAGGGTGAGCGCCGCGCCCCTCGCGGGCGCACCCGCCCTACCGGACGCGTTGAGCCGCTGCTCCTCGCGGCAGCACTCGGCGAAGCGGCAGTACAGGTCCGTGTAGGACAGGTAGCCGGTGAGGGCGGACGCGGCCCCGAGGGCGATGCCCACGCTGATGGGCTCGATCGCCGCCACCACGTGAGCCGCCAGCAGCGGCCCCAGCGCCGCTGCACGGCCGAGCCCCGCCGCCCGTGGCATCGCCCAGCTCACAGTCCGCCAACCTCTGCACCGCGCTCCCAGGCCGCGAAGCCGCGGCCGGACTTCCGGCTGCGTCACTTCCGCCCCGCAGGCCCGCCTCTCCCTCGGGACGGCCATATTGGCGGGGGAGTGGGGAAATCTGTGTCGCCATCTTTGTGCGTGGCGCGAGAGGTGTCCCGGGACTGGCCTCTCGCGAACCCCTCGCCTGCTTCTTCTCGTTTCCAGCCCCCACCCTTGGCTTTGTCATCCCTTCCCCTGGAGCTGTAATGAGCGTCTCCCATGTCGACCCACCACCTGCCTTCCTGAAACAGCTGCTCTGCGCCCTGGAGGTCCAGGCCCGGGCCGGGAGGCACCAAGACCGAGGCGCACAATCAAACCAGAAACCCGTCCGGTCGTTCAGCATGCGACAAGGCAGGCCCTTTGCTGGCTGCTGGGAAGACAACAGTGAAGGAGAGGGAGTTGGCTCTGGCCCTCTCCGGTGTCCAGGCTATTGGGCAAGAGCCCGTACTGGGCGGTGGGAGAAACACAAGGGCCGTGGAGCAGGGAAAGCTTCTGTCTAAACGGAGAACGAAAGGAGTTAGCCCCGCAACAAGTGAGGAGTGGAACCTTCACCCAGAGAACAGAAACTGCAGTTTGGAGAAGTGTTTCACATGGTGGAGGCTGGTGACAATGAGGGGGGCAGAGCCAGGTGGAGACTGGCATGGGAACACCTCCAGGGCTGTGAGGAGGCTGGCTTCTAGTCTGGGGGGGG